GAGGAGGGGGCAGTTCTCGGGTCAGCGAGGTCCAGCGAAATGTGGGTTCCCTTAAGATGGACCGTCTCTTTTCAGGAAGTGGGACTGGGACAGATAGGGGAGTTGGAGCACACGGTGGAGAGGGGGCTGGTGCTGGTTCCTGGGGAGCGAGTGGTGAGATGGCAACTGGAGGCCGCAGAGTAGGTGAGACTTCCACCTTTAGGGGTTTGGGGGGGTCTTCATCCATAAATCGTCGGGGTGTCTTGATGACACGGGAGGACCGGGCACTCACCACAGGCATAATAAACTGCCGGATATTCTTTAGGAAGGTGGTACTTTTGGGAGCCACAGTGGGACTGTCTTCCAGAGGGCCTCCTGTGGTGGTGCTGGGGGTTGGAGTGGTAGGAGAGGTGCCCTCTGGCCCTGCCCGAGCAGCTTCCCGCTCTGCCCGTTGGCTGGGAGTCAGGGGAGGCCGGCCTCTCTTCCTAGAGCATGTAGCTAGGACAACAGGAGGGGATTCTTCCTGCTCCTCTGGGGCAGGAGGTGGTGGAGGGGATGGTGGGGTCACTAAGGGTGGTGGAGGGCAAAGTGGGGATGGAGGAGATGTTGAGGGAGATGGAAGAAGTGGGGGAGGGGGAGGGGCTGGAGGAGTCAGGGGTGGTGAGGGTGGCTTTGCCTGTTCCTTTTCCTCCTCTAACGTATCTTTCTCAGCTACAGCTCGCTCTTCCTTCCCTTCCCCTTCCTCCTTGTCTTTCTCCGTCTCTCCCTCCTCTTTTAACTTCTGCTCCTTGCTCCAGCAAGGGCCCTCTCCCTGTCCAGATTCAATTTTTCCTTGGGGGGCATCCTGCCAGCTTTCCTCATGTTGATCTTGACCCTGACCTGATTCAAGTCCCAAGGACAATCGTCCCATCTTCAGTCTTTTGGCCTTTGAAACAAACTTGATCACAAGGGGGAGTCCACCTCGGCCTCGGCCCCTGCCTCCACGGCCTCCTCGCCCAGACTGTCCTCCACACTTGGGGGTCCCAGGTCCTGGGCCAGGCCCCTCCTTGCACTTCCAGCTGCCAGTTCGATGTTTTACTGGAACCACAGGAGGTGGAGGCTCAGGTTTGGGGATTGTCACAGCTGCTTCTGCCACCACTACTGCTTGTTGCTTCTTCCTGCAGGGGCCTGCTGGCCGTCCTGGGGGCCGCCCCCGAGACCGACGGGGGGTGGAGGGCTCACATGCCCGGCTCCGGGGGGCTGGGGGTGCCTGGGCCCGCCGAAGAAGTTCAGTCAGTGCTTGCACCATCCGTTCTGTACCCTCCTCACCCCGTTTCCGGGCAGGAGTCTTTGGGGGGGTAGGAGTCACATCCGCTAGGCGAGGAGGCGGAAGGGGGATCGTCTTATGCTTGCGGCCCCGACCTCGAGGGGCTCGACCTAAAAGAATAGGTGTGGGGAGAGATGGGTCAAGCCAGCCCTTTGGACTATGAAAGGCATTGCAGGAGGGCCAGGACTAGTCTTACTTGTCTGTTTCCCCCACAGCCCAGCCTAGCTTGGGCTCTGAACACAGAACACACTCAGTAACTGATGGAGACTCTAGTTGAACAGGGAAAAGCTGACACAAAGAGTGAGAATAACATTCCTGTAAAGCTACAGAGGTAGAGTTTCCCCGTCACTCACCTCGCTGGGACCGGAGCGCAGAGCGCAGGGAACTGGGGGCCACATCTTCATCTGAATGAAAACCCTGAAACTCCTGATTTAGGGGACCAGAGGTGGAGGGGAGAAACAGCAGTCAGTGCCAAAACCCTTATTCCACCTGAGACTCAGGTACCAAGGAATATCCCCAGCTTCCCCCTTAACAGACCCCTGCCTATTTATAGAAGAACTAAAAAGAATAGAAGGGGAGGGGAATAGAAAAACAGGGTTTCTCCTTAGGGATGAAAACACAGGGTATTTTGAACCTCCACTTCCTATGCCAAATCACACCAGCACAGAAGGACGCAGAACAGGGTATTCTCAGGCCAAGCACTAGCCACTACCCTCAGATTCCCTTACATTCCAACTCAGAAAAAAGTGGGACCTCTGTTTACACCCTCTTGGGCCGTAGTTTCTTCCAGAATGAAGATGGGAATAGGGCCACCCAAGCGTGGTGTCTGTGTACATCAAATGGTTTATCGGATCCCCACACCTTCCTCCCTTTCCCAGAGGCGGGGTTATAAATCATGAGCTGAACTCAAGACCTGCTGGAGTGCTCAGTCTCAGTCTTCATTCCATTTCTCTTCAACCTGGGCCCCTAAGAGGAAGCCCTCCACCATTCTACCCTCTCTCCACTTTAGGTCAGAAGAGGAAATGGGGCACTGGTGAAACCAGAGGTTATGAGGCTGGGCGGGGCAGCTCACAGGTAAGAGCCCAGAGAGCCCTAGCTTGGGTCCACTAAAGTCAAGCTGCTGCTGTCAACCACCACTGGTTGGGCATGCGGTGCCCATAGCTCCCTTGCTCAAACCTCTACTGCCCTAGCTTTGCCGACTACCAAGAAAGATCAGCCCAGGACACTTCAGTATGACCCGCCACAGGCCGAAGTGCCTAGCTGTAGCTTGGGCTTCTCTACTCACTTATAAAAGCCCCTTTCACCAACAGCTCCATGCAGCCCACCTCCTCCCCGGACTATTTCCAGGGCCCTTTCTCTCCGCAGGGGCCCCGAGGACCCCGCTTCCCCACGTCACTCCTCGGGGCCACCCAGAGCCCTGGAAGCCCCGGGCCTCCGCCCCGCCAGGCGCTGGGGACGCCTCCGACCGCCTCACCTCCTCGTCGGATTCCCCGTCACTGCTCTCCTCCTCCGGCGCGCAGTCCCGGCTCAGGCCCCAGCCCCGGC